TGAGGGCAGTAACGCACAGGTTACAACTCAGGGTGGGGGTGGGTTAGGTACAGCTGAGGCTACAGAACGGCATAGTAGAAGCTTGGGCCTGGACGGGTCCGCGGAACTGCCATTCCAACTGTCAAGATTGTTTGGCCAAGTATCCCGGATTCCTTGACGTTCAATGGGCAAAAATCACGACCCGCACGGCCTTCCTGTGGCTCCCTGAGAACAAGACATGGTTCTTATTCCTGTGCCGGACGCCCATGTTGAGAATCATGTCTTCCTATCCTCCTCCTGAGAGAGGATCGAGACCACTACATACTTGCCAGTCTGCTTTTCGAGGTATGTCCCCGACGTGCGTGACAATCCCGGCAAGATCGGCATCCGCTTCACCATGCGGCCACGTCCAGGTGCGCCATGGGGTTGCTTCGTGGTTCAGAGTTTACAGCCCCCATTAAGTAGATAGAACATGGGGTATATGGGATCTTATTATAATATACCCAAAGCCATTTTTCTACTGAAGGGGGACCACAATACGAAGGGTTGAGGTATATGGCGGTGACGCGAGGTTTCTGTGGGGAGAACGTAGGATTGTTAAAGAGGTCTGAAAAGTATTTCTGAAAAGTACCGGGCTTTGGTGTGAGTGCGTGTTTTGTTGTGTTTGGGCGGGAGCCCTCATTGCGTAGTGCTGCTACTGTACACCAGAAGATAGATAGGGACCCCTCGACAAAAGCCTGCACCTTTGAGAAGCTCCCTCCATGCAATACCATCTCCTCTCTTGAGCTGCAGGTGGGTGGGGGGGGGGGGTAAGGAGAGGGGAGGGGAGTATTCCTCATGCTTAGTTGGGAGTGACCGCTAAGGAAGATGCAATGCCGTTACTATGGCATTTTGTGCTTCCGTACTGTAGGCCTGGGACAGCCTCAGAAGAAGCCAAGCAAACATGCGGAGTTGAAGGAAAATGTAGTTGCATTTGCTTTGCAAGCCCAAGAACTGAGAGGATGGTAAGCGATGGCCATTATGAGAGTTATTGTTGCTACTATTCATGTTCCTATTTATTCGTATTGTAGTATTAATATTAGTACTCTTGTTATTCGTAGCGGTGTTTGTAGAATTGTGTGGGGATTAGGGACTGGACTTGCGCCGAGAAAGTCAGGCTACAATCCAGAGTTCTTAGCCAGACCGCATCCATGGCCGTGACGTGGCCCTTTCTGACTTCCGTGCCATTAGGCAGTCTCCCTGAATAGGGGGGGGGGGGGACCCCAATAAAGATCCCAATATTTAAGAATGAGTCCTTGTTGTAGGGACTGCACCCCCCAAGAAAAAACAAGTATCCCCCAATTTGGGGAAATCCAACGTATGCTTGAGCCTCATGGCCCGGATTCTGTCAGACGTCACCTACACCCTAACCCAAAAGGGTTTAGGGTTTAGGGGTTTAGGGTTTAGGGTTCAACCCGAAAAACCAAACTGCAAACCAGCTCCGAGAGTTGTGGCTGAGCATTGATGAGGCGTTCCGGTGCGCGACCGAGGACGCAAAGCGCCGCCCTTTCCCAAGGCCAGGGAAATGTAATCTGAAAAATAGTAATACTAACTAGTAGGAATAATCATAAAACAAGAATTGAGATAGTAATGAGAATAGTAGAAAAAAAGGTACTCATACCTGTGTTCAGGGACATCCTGAAGCATTGTCTTGCCAATTAGCGTTTGTTTGGGCCTCACTTCTAGCAACCTCCCGGCAGCAATGAGATGATCTCCTGAACAGCGGCCGTTGTAGTTGCACCACTAATGCTGTCCTTGAATGTGAGATTTGGGGATCGGTCTGGTTCTCTACCAGGCGCAAGCTCAGAAGGGAGGGTTCATGGGGTTTCACAGCATGCGTATCCCGGACCCTCAGGCCCTCCTATCCCAAACCTTGAACTCTACAGCAAACCTTAGAGGGAATATGGGGACTATATTGGGGTTCCATGGGGATAATGGAAAAGGAAATGGAAACTACTCCTTGGGGTTATATATATACTCTAGTAGTCCCTTTGTGGGTACCCTAAATATTAGGTGCCGTAAACCCTAAACCCTAACTCAGAGCAATGGTGAGGCACCCGGGTCTGGAATCCAGAGCTGGTCAACTGCTGAAAGCCTTCCCTGATTCACGGCTAAGCGGCAAAACTGTGAACTCCCAGTCTGGATGATCGTCATCAAGCCCTGAGCGTAGTAAACCTTCATCTAATCCTAACTACAAACCCTGGTGGTTGCGATCCCAATGCCAAAGCTGAGATTTTTCACGAGCTTTCAATCAGCAACCTAAGCCAGGATGCCCCGAAGACCGATGCTCCTCCCATGATTGCCTCTTGGCTTCAAGGCGAAACAGCCAGGGCCGTCGATCACGTCAGGCTAAACGAAGTTGCAGCAGCCAGAGTACCATGCAAAGCGCAGTTGGCAGCAATGCTTCGTATATGGCCATGGGAGCCTATCTATCAAGGATGCTCACTATGCACATTGACATGTATCCAAGGCTGGTGACGAAGAAGACGAGAGCGATCCCGTCTGGCTGAAAGACAAGGCAAGGCCTCCTCCTAACTCCTTAGGACTCCTGCGTTATATAGGGGATAATGGAAAAATGGAAACTACCACATTCTATAGGGTTTTATAAGGGTTATATAGGGGTTATATTTGGGTTATCCTGGGTTATAAAGAAACTACTATATAGGGATAATGGAAAAGAGAATGGAAACTACTATACATTGTAGTATATTGGGGGTTATATTGGGATAATATGGAAAAGAAAATGGAAACTACTATAGTATATTCGGGATAGATTGGGATAATGGAAAACAAAATGGAACCTACAATTGTATTAGAGTGCTGAAATGTTTCAAGTACCCTTGTCGTCGTCGTCGCCGTTTTCTACGACTGTGCCTCCACCTCCTGCTACTTCTACCTCCGCTCCTGATGCAGCTCTTGCTGCTGTTTTGCTTTGTGGGTTGATCCTGAGACAGCTCTCGGAGAGAGGAAATAAGCAAGCTAAGTATCATTGTGAGACCTCATTTGGTCCAAAAGCTCCATCAGCCAAGCATTAGGACCATTAGGATGTAGAGGTTATATTGGGGTTCAACTTGCAGAACAGCGTCAAAGCTACCGATGCTGTTCACATATGGCCAAGAAACCTAGACCCTACAACTATTCTGTATTCAGCCTTATTATAGCCCCAAATAAATAAAGGAGCTCGGAGGGTCTACAATACTTGCTTACAGATTCAGCGTTGATTGGACATTGGCCTTCTGAAGGTTGTAAGTACAAAATAACTCGCTGGTCAGCATTCGAGACCTGATGTTGGCTGACACGCGCAAGAAGGCTTTATGTGGGCGTGTCCCAAAACTTTTGGGTATGGAACAGGGTGCGCGCGGAACATCCGTTCCATACCCTGATCCATAGGTTGTGGATCATCGGGCCTTTTCTCATTCAATACCCCTCATTCCAAAACCCCATCAACAGCGGCATACTGCGACCCAAAGGGTATGGATCAAACCCTCTGGCACAGGGTGTGTATAATTTTTTCCGGTGGCTAGCCGAAGGCCGTTTTCTTGGCACACGCCCATGTGCCCGGATGTCGCCAATGTGGCATCTGACGCATTCCAAGGCAGAATCCAAAAGAAAAAGCAACAAGCCCGCAGCGCACGGCGGCCACAAATTGCAAAAGCATTCCACACAGGAAATTCGGCAGTTAAGCCAACACATTTTTAAGCAGAAGGGAGCAATGGATATTGTTGCTGATATTGTGGAACCCTTCAAGGGGACTGAGGAACCATTTTCACGACCCTAAAAGCCTTGCAAGCCTTGAATTCAAGCTGTTAAGTGCCAAGCGCTGGTCTTTATAGCAAGACCCCCACCCTAAACCCTAAACCCAAACCCCTAACCGTGAGGGTGACAAGCTGATGACGCTGGGAGACTACCAGGGCGCCTACAACGCTTACACGGAGGCGCATTCTTGGTAGAAAGTTCTGTTCCTGGCTTGCTGGGAAGGAAGGAAGTGTTGGAAATTAAGTTCCCATGTTATTCACTGTATGTCCGTACTAGGGTCACTTCGTTTAGCGCCTTACCTGCAAGCCAGATTTGTAGCATTGAGGTCTAGATCCCCAGTGTTCACGCAGAAAAAGAGTGGTAAACAAAACTGAAATCCTAAACCCCTCTACCTTTTGGCTTGAGAAGGCTCTCCATGTGGGGATTGGTCTAAATTCCCTATAATGCGGGGTCCTATATTTAGGTTTCCATTATAATACGGGGCCCTATATAAATTTCCCCCATTTTGGGAACAGTAATTTAGGGAAACTCCCATGTAGCCTTGCCGAGGTATCTCACCCGCAGACTAGGCGGATGCACCCGGCGAGCCCAAATCGAATTTAAGTAAGGTATATGGGTGGTTGTCAAAATTATGGTCCCTTTTTGGGTACCCTAAATACTAGGGGCCGTATTATAGTAGGGATCCAAAAAGGGACCATAATTTTGACAACCTACCATATATGCCTTAAATCCTCTTCAGGATCCTAGCCATAAAAAACCCAAGAGATCCCGAGGTACAACCCTACATATGATACATACGTCTCAGTAATTAAACATAGACACACAGGTATATCCCCAGGAGTACTTAAGGTAGCCGGAGACTTCAGAGGCACTGAAGCTTGCCTCAAACGCGCGATGCTTCGCGAATCGCGCTGTGGCCGCTTTGTATCGAGCTCAGACTCTGCAGGAAGGGATTCTCCAGCTATATAGGGTGTATATATATATACACATATATATATATACGTATATGTGAGTCTATATTTAGGGGTGTATATATACATATGTCTAAAAATGTATTCAGGGGTGTACATATAAGAGGGATCCTCTAGTACTCTAGTCTACAAGGAAAATTCAGTGAATTTTTCACTGGAATGGCCAGCCTGTGGACAGGAAACTTGATCAACTAGCCTATGAGCCACTATGTAATCGCAGTTTCTTTCCATTTTCCAACGTGTGCCCTCAGCTGGTTTGGTGTTGATACTTGATACAACCGGCACACTCGCCCCTCACGGCCCCAAACCACGCTACCCGACAGCCACACCCCCTGACACCCCACACACGGTGTGTGGCGGCGTTTGCTTGCAGGGTGGTTGGGGGGTGAAGGTAGGCACCAGCCCCTTCCCCTTAAGTAGACATAGGGGTTATAGGGGTTATATTGGGATACTGGAAAAGAAAAATGGAAACTACTATTCAGGGTTTAAGGTTAGCCCCAAAATACAATCCACTTTTCAATCTTTGTCCATGTCTGGCAATCAGCCCACGCAGCAGAAACATTGCCTGATCCCAAACTGCAATCTACTTTTGGGGGGGGCTCGGAACGGGAAGCATGATCTGACCCAGACAATACAATACAATCTATTTTTCTTGGTTGGCCTTTGGGATACTTAAATATTTGCCCTAATGGGTTTCATAAGGACCCAATATGCTAATATTTTTCAAAGGGTTCCAAAGGCCAACCAAGTTTTGGGTGCTATCAGATTTTGGCAATCTACTTTTAGCTCCCGCAGAGCATGAAAGCCTTTCAAAAGGAGACTAGTTGTTTCAGGCTGGTCCGAAAGCAACCTGACTTATGAAATCATCCCGACCAAAAGATTAACCTAGCCCACTGTGGTCTTTTTTCCATTTGATTCTCCATGATTATTGGGATCATATCCCCCTAAGCCCTGTAACCCTAAACCCTAAACTTACAGAAAGAGGCCGAACAAGGCCTGCCTAGACTCCTAACTCCCCTCTTTGGGATTTTATTACCTTCCACTACAAAGGTACCCCACCCAGGACTTGAGCAGCTAATTAGGACATATATGGGGCATAGTCGGCATACCAGGTTTCTGAATTTGGGGAGGGTATTCTTCTGGGGCGGATAAGATTGTAACCCTGACCTTGGGAGAGAAAAAGCAAAGCCCTAAACCCTAAACCTTAAGGCCTAAACCCTAAACCCCCTAAACCCTAAACCCTATAGGGTTTCCCCTGTATAGTAACTCAAATTAAGTTACTTAATACCGCTCAGTCAGCTAGAGTCATGACCTCTTGGCCTCCTTCGGGCGACAGCGCCGGCATCTACCTGAGAGCTCCTATATAGTTCCTTTTTCGGGTTTGCTATGGCTTTTCGGTAAGGGATTATATTCTACCATCCCAAAAAATGCATTGGAGGGTCTGGGTAAGTCTCAACTTTTGCTTAGCTCCCTGTCCTCCCACAGAGCTTAGTTCATGTTGATGTAGAAGGGGAAATATTGCTTTCTACATATTTACCCATTATGATACCTTAACTTAAGTTCCTTATTATGCCCATTATGGTATCTTAATTTCAGTTCCTTTTTATACCCATTATAGTACCTCAATTTAAGTTCCTTCTTATACCCATTATGGTACCTTATTTTGAATTTCCCCAATGGCAACCCAGCTCAGCTACCTTGCTCCGCTGGCACCTGTCTGCTCCTCTACCAATCAAAGACTTTAAGTTTGTACCCTTAATGTTTGTACCCCTAAGTTTTGGGTCCCAAATATCCTTATTGAGGGCCATATTCCATGGTTTAGGGACCCAAAACCCTAAACCCTAAACCCAAAACCCACGGGTACAAACCCTAAGGGTCCAAAGGAAAACTCCCTGGACCAAGGTATCTCGGCAACTTCGAGCAGTGCCTGGAGGATGGCTTGTGCCAGCTTCTACTATGGGTTTAGGGTTTAGGGCTTAGGGTTTAGGGTTTAGGGTTTAGGGCTTAGGGTTTAGGGTTTAGGGTTTAGGGTTGAATTAGGGGATATATAGGGATAATGGAAAGGAAAATGGAAACTACTATAATGGGTTCTATAGGGGTTCTATAGGGTTTAATATCGGGTTATATGGGTGGTTGTTAAAATGCTGGTCCCTTTGTTGGGGTACCCTAAATATTAGGTGCCTTATTAATAGGGATCCAAAAAGGGACCATAATTTTGACAACCACATACATATAATATATGAACGACCGCTTTTATTATCGTGTAGGAGCCAAGAGCAGGCAGAGATGAAATCCAGGGACATAAGCAAAACCCGAGTAAAGCGATAGGGCCCCCCCCCAAAAGCCATACCCCCGAAATGGATAACAGCAGTGCGCAAAAAGCCTGTAAAGCGATAGGCCCCCCCAAAGCGATTTTTTATTTAGCAGTTTACTAATAATTTAGGTAGCTGCTCATATGCATTTATGAATCTATAAAACTATAGATATTAAGTCTGTGTATACATATATACAGATAACAGTTGCTTTAACATTTTATGACATGATATATATATATATATGTATATACATATGTATATTATGTTTGTTTTTACAGGTGTGGGCTTCTGATTGGAAGGAGTGGACAGCGGAGTCAGAAAGGCTTTCCACAACATGCCTTGCTGCTTACATCTCGCTGCTTATATATGCCTATGCTAAGCAGCAGACGGCTTAGGCTTAGCTATTGAGTCGAGACTTTGGCCACGTCGGGAGTGTAGCATCAAGGATTTCGCCTCAGCTCCCCCAAGGACATTCCAACGACGTACCTGAAGATATCATCTCAGCATTTGGCTTTCAAGCTTAGCAACCCATACCCAGCTGCGGATCTCGAGTTTCAAGGTCATTTGAATGTCACTTTCCTGGTGCAACTGTTACCTGCCTGCGGGGAGGACTGCAACAGATCCATCCAGATCTTGGATTTCAGGCCAACGCCAGCACATCTTGGTTTTCACGCTTTGGGAGCAATGATCTATAGCAGTTGAGGCCTTGTTTGTAGGCTTCAAGTCTAAATCGCTTGGAAATTTCGGCCCACACTTCTCATACTATATTTCTATTCCTATTGCTATTACTATTACTAGTACTATTACGAATATTACGAAGTGAGTCAGGAAGGCCATTTCGCCCCAGCCTGATGTGATATCCACTTCTCTGGAGGAACAAGCCCCGCCCCGGAGAGATGTCGCACACTGCCGACCCTGAGGATGAAAAGGCAAGGAGGGAAAAGGGTTAGCCTGTAACCCCAGTTTAGCAATAAATACTTGCAATTTACCCCTACTTCGTAGGTAATTGGGGTTGCAGGAGGGTTTAGGGCTGAATGGTTTTGAGGATATTTTCCATTTTTTGCGAGCCAGATACTTTACGGTTTTTGTGGATTTGCTTGTGGGTGCGCAGGTTGCGCAGACGGTGCGCAAGCCATTCGTAGATCTGGGTTCTGGAAGCAGTGCTGGAACCCTTGCCGTTCGAAAAGTGGGGAGGCTCAGAGGGAAGAGTTCTGGCACGATCTGTGTGGAGACCCCAAATTTTGAATGAATCAACATCCCCAAGATGCTTTCAAACATTTTGTCTGGTGACGCCTCGACACAGACAGAATGCCCAGGATCAGACTTTTTCACACAACTCATTGTGGGATCTTCCCAAAACCCGAAAACAACATTCAACTAATTGCCTCGAATTGTTTATTGAGCAATCCCTGGGGCTCCAGCTACCTAAATAATGGGAACTGCGTTCTATATACCCTATAGTTACATAGCCCAGTAACCCACTATTTAGGTAACTCGAGCCCTCGGGAATCACATGATGTGTGATTCGACGACAAAGGGGAAATTGAGATTACAGTCTCTGTGGTAGGCCGTCATGTTGTCACCGTCAAGGACTTCCTGTTTGACAGGGTGTATGCATCTCTTCTCCATTATCCTCATATAACCCCAATACACTATAGTAGTTTCCATTTTCTTTTCCATTATCCCTATATATATCCAAATATACTACAGTAGTTTCCTGGTTGCTTCAACGACAATCCTTTTGTGTAGAGGTGGATGGTTCTATTCGTTGCATGCAGACCGTACGGAGAAGCATGGAGGCTTCTCCACAGTTCCTTGTGAAGGGGTCGCAAAGGTAGCGGCCCAGCTTGCTCATCCGCATGTTCATGCACATGGCCTCCTAGACCCTCCATCTACCCTCGGTATAACCTAAATGCCCACTATTAGCACCATATACCCCATTTAAGGGTAATAGACGTTGAAGACCTACTATTAGGGACCATAAACCCCTTTTTTTAAGGGTACAAGGAGGGTCCTGCTTAAAAGAAGGGATTCTAGGCTTGCTTTTTGACAGGTCCGAGCTCGTGTGGAGGTGAGAATGGGCTAGGCACCCAGGAAACATTCAGGGTTTAGGGTTCAGGGTTTTTGTTTAGGGTCAAGGGTTTAGGATTTAGGGCATTACGTTACCATGATATGGGTGTAAAGTAAATACTAGTAATGGGGATTTCCGTTTTGTAGTAAGCTCTTAACGAACTGAAACTAAGCTACTCTGATAAGAAAACCCTATTATTTACGATGTACCCATATTATGGTAACTTAGTTTAAAATCCTTAATCGCAACCCAGCCCATTACAGGGGCAAAAAAAACTTGAAAACATGCCTATAGCGGATATCGTGGGCAGGTGCCTTTGAAGGCACCAAGTGTATTTGCGTGGGTCTGTACAACATATCGATGACCATTGGAGCTATAGTCTTAACTCCTAGTATCCTCCTGAATGACCCCTATAATACTCCCGTATATGATCCCCTATATAACCACCCTTTATGGAGTTTCGATTATAGCTCATTTGATTTTTGTGGATGTACGGGGAACGCTGGGTTTCAGAAACTGTCATCTGGCTTTTTTCGCCCTGCTCAGAACAAGCGGACCCTTAGGAGGATCTCCCAGGCATGGGTAGAGCAGCAACATGGTAGTTTCCCCAATAAGGGGGACCCCAGTATAGACCCAAGATATTATAAACCTGACTATAGAGACTGCAGAAAAGGTACCTCAAATTTTGCGAAACACCCAAGAATCTCCCCAGCGAGCTACGAACCAACACCAATCAGTGGTTGATTTGCTAATGCGATAGTATTATTACTATATTGCTACTATTATTATTAACGTTATTATCATCATTATTATTGTCATTTTTCAGGCGTTGCATACCTCTGGCTGGGTGCCTTTCAGAAGGCCGCCGCGGATCGCATGGGACCGTACTGCAAGGGGTCCACCACGGGGTTCACAGAGTTCACACATGGCCTACAGACTTGGAGCATTCGGGAAGGTCTCTTATGAGAGGAGTTGCGGAGGTTGCGAAGCGAGCTTCATCCTTTTAGCATCCGTATTTCTTCACTCCTTGGGTGATCTGTGCGATTCATCTAAGCTCCTGTCAATATTAGCCTTGTTAAGGACCCTTAATAGTGTACACTGTGGTCCCTCTTGTAGTTTAGCGTGGTCCCTACTATGGGACCCAAGTCCATTGATTTGGGTAATATTGGCTGTAGCTCATCTGATATCCTGCAGCAGCCGATAAACAATGACCAGCGTGGAGATGGTCAATGCTTTTCATCATTGGGTACGACTCGCAAATGAGCTCGTGTAGCTCACAGGAACCGCGCGTTTTGTGGGAACTAAACATCAATATCATAGTCCAAGGCAGAAGCATGGACATTTTGGGTTTAAGGTTTCATGACTCGATGGTTCTTACGCACTCCCCCGTCCCCATTCGGCGCCCCACATGCTATGCAAAGAATCCAAAATTCATTCGTCAGGACTGGCGTAGGAGTTTTGCAAGAACGCAGGCCCAAAGATAAAATTCAAAACATCCTGTCCCACGTTCTTTTGAACCCGCATAGGCTGTTCTTCAATGGCCACTACCTCTATCAGCACTTTCGTCTCTGTAAGGCCTGTTACAAGTTCTTACGTGTCAAAAGCACACTTTAAGTACCCTTGAATGACTTACTCGTGATTAGTAGGGAGTAAGAGAATAGCATCCATATATGATCCTATATAACTCCTGTGTAGTATATTCCTGTATTCCCTACCAACCACCAGGAAATGAAGGATGCTGAAGACTGGCGTTTCAGCGGCTTTTGCATCCATGCCATCTCTTTGGTTCCCGAGAACTCATCACTTCAGAGGAATGCTCAGGAATGTGATTCTACCCAGACCCTCCTATGTAGTTCCTTTTTCAGAAGTATATTATAATCCTTTAGATAGGGGATAATAGGGATTAGATTAGGGTCCTCTTATATTCCTGTTATTCCACTATTACAGGGTGGGGGGTCCTCCTAAATAATCCTGTACGATACAAACCCTAGCAAACCCAAGGATCTACATAGGAGCTCTTGGGTATACTCAAGTTGCATGCTTTCAGCAACTAGCGCATACATGGGACGGAAGAGGCTATAGACCCCAAAGCCTAAACTGCTGCCCAATTCTTGGCAGAAGTCTGTGCCCCCTAAGTCAAACAAGGATTATGGTATATTGGGGTCTGTACTGACGCTCCCTAAACCCTAAACCCTAAACCCTGATTCTGTGAGGCAGAGGCTCACTTTGAGAAGGCTCTGGGCAGCGAGGGGTTAGAGCTCGAGGAATCCAAGCAGGCGAGCAATGCGGTTTCGGCCTACCTTCTGAGGGTATATACAGATCTATAGGGTTTAGGGCCTCTAAAAATTACGAATCCTTTTTTGGGAGACCCCAAGCAGATTTATTGGGTTTAGGGTTTTTCAGATATACCGTAAGCCTTGTTTGGCATATGATAAGGAGTACCGTATTTGCGGGCGGCACAGGCGAAACCCTACATTGCTTGGAAAACACCCATATGAGCTATCGTCTAAACTCCTTTTAAGGGGTTATATAGGAGATTATATAGGGGAGTTTGATAGGGGTTATTAAGGGGCATACTAGGAGTTTAGACTAGAACTCATATAGGGAGTCTTCTCGGAAGTTGGGATCTCTACAAGAGAAAACTTGTGGGATAGGTGGGGATGATGCGGATTATCATTGCATTGTGAGGATTAGGAGGAGATTGTCGGTTCCCCCAAAGGGTCTATAGGAGCTACATGGAATGTGGAGTCATAAAGGAGCCTCTCAAAGTATCCCTTATGTAATCCTTAAGAGTGGGCTCTCCATAAATCCCAATACATCCCTATAGGGTCTCCTAGGGCTCCCTGTATGAAGAACCTCAACCCCCCAAACCCTCCAAACCTCCTAGGGCCCCAAAACTCCTGAACCCTCAGGCCCAAACTCGTAAGCCAGAAGGAGGAAATGGGAGTCTCTCAAAAAGATCCCCATGTAATTCTTAGGAGGACCCCGGAATGACTACATATTCCAAGAGTCTGTAAGATTCCCTGTTTTTTGAGAAGCCCCCAAATTGTGGTAGATTCTCTAAATCGGCGGACCCCAATATAGTCTCTAATATACTGTAGTTCTCATTCTATAAGCAAAGGGACCACGCAAAAAGGTACCCCTAATGTTTGGAAACCCCTAAACACGATGTATCCGTATATACCCCTATCTAACCCCTACATGCCCCCTTAAAGGTACTCCTAATTTTTGGAAACCTCCAAATTCTCCTGCAGAGGTGCGCCTGGATCTCCAGCGCGTCCAGGCAGCGAAAAAAGCGCTGCAGGAGAAGGAGCAGGCCTGCCTTTTGAGGGTTGGTTTGGGGTTTATGGGTTTACGGTTTAGCCTATATTATAGTCTATATATAGCGTGTAAGGAGTGAGGGTTTGTCAGATAGATTGATTGCATTGCGATTGCCAGTAGGCTGCTGCATTTGATTCATGCGGGTGGACAAGTTATGGCGACCTCACCGGACGTCAACTCGAAATTTGGGAAAGTGGTATGAATTGACTTTATTATTTGAGGCTTCGGGTTATGAGTTATGACTCATCCCATCAGGCAGTTGTTACTTCCTTGTCGCACTTCACATTAGTACTACTTTCGCGCAAGTACTTGCGTAACACGGGGTGCAGGGTGAAATTGTGAAAAAAACAGTAGGGATGATATCAGGATTATTGGACCCCTGTAATGCATGAAGGCCACAGCGGCTGCGTAGAATTTATGTAAGCAGGATCCAAAGATTATCACAGATTATTCAAGGACCGGGCAGCGGGAACCCGTTTTTTTTTTTT